GATGAGGCTGGGATTTGAACACGCGAACCCCTCGCCACAGAGGTCAGTTACTAGTCCGGTATCTTGACCACCATTCCACTCAAATACGAAAAGCCCGCCACAATGTTCTCAAAACAAATCATACCTATGTGGGTACTGATCCAAGAGTTTCCTTGTCTTCTGTATAGTACATTATAATATAATATCAAGTCGAGTTTGGAAATTATAGTTTAATATTTAGGGGAGATAGGAGTCCTACTCCCCTATTTTAACTAAATTCCTACAAATGAAACTTTTTGTCTAACTTTTATTAGTAACATTTTAAATTATGATTATAAAGTTTTACCAAGATAACAAAAATTTGGTTTTTTATTTCAAGCACAAAAAAAAAAATTTTTTTTTGCACCATTAAATGTATGTTAAATTTTAACGTTTCAAAAGGTATTTATTATTCAATAAAAATCCAATTTATTTTAAATTGTATGCGTATGTTTATTATAATATTAAATATTAAAATATCTTTTGGTATAAGAGTTATAATCAATTTCATGGGAAAAAATACAGCTTTTTGAATTGCGAAACATGCTTAAAAATCAAATAATCAGGATTACATGTAAAGAGAAGGGTAATAACAGAAAATTAAAAAAATAGCAGTGCTCTTTCCATTTTAAGGTAAGAAGTAGCTGATTAAGTAAGCAAAATTAAAGTTTCTAATAATATGTACACTTTGGCTACGAATAATTGAATCAAAGAATTGATGTAAACAACTTTATTTGTAAGTATCAAAAAAGGAAAGAAAAAAAATCTATATTTTTATACATTAAATAGTTACTACTGTAACTGTCGATACAATTTCTTACAGTTCAACTCGAATGTATTATATTATTAAAAAAAAATTTGCACCTGCATATTAGAAAAAAGATATATATTTTTTCAAATCTGTATTATTTAAATAATTTTTTTTTTTTAATTAATAACATGATTTAAACATAAGCGACAGAAAGATTGCTAAAATTCAGACAATTTAACAGGCATGAAAAAATTTATTATTTATTACATTAAAGGTTTAAAAAATTATGCTTAATTATGTTATTACACTTGACATCTTCGCGGAGCAAGCGTGAGGTCGTAACGATAGGAGCAGTTTTTCTGCTGATTCTGTCTCGAGAAGCTAGTCTAAATACTGCTTTCTATGTGACTAAAGCCATAAAAAAAAAACTTCGTCGTAGTTTAAAAAAAGAAATTAAATGATTGAATGCAATAATGTAAAATTAGCTTTTCGTAGACAAGTATTTGTTTACTCCCATTTCTGCCTTTCTTGAAATTGTTACTAAGCACTCTTTTCCATGTTTTCATCTAACTCTCTGTAAAATTTGAATTTCAAAAAACTGAAATAGCCTTTGCAGACAAGTAAGCTACAAGCTTAAAAAAATTCTTCCACGCAAGTGTAATAAACAAAAGGGCACGTTCCAAAATTCATACCGGTTACTTTGGTTTGCTTAAATAAAACATACTTCAGCTCAATATTTGTAAAAAAAAATTTTAATTGATTTGGAATTTTTGCGATTGTAGTTAACCTGTATCTATAGGTATATTATATTTTTATTTTACTATGCATGTTTGGTAAAGCAGAGTTGTGCCAAAGAATAAAAAAGAGCAGGGTACTCCCTTGCAGAAGAGAGAACATACTACCGTTAAAGTTTATCAAAATGTACTATATTATATATTAACTAATTTTGATCCTCAATATTTTAATTACCCTCATATTATTGTATGAGTATATTTCCTAAAGTAATTTTCACTCATAATTAAAATAACAGAAAAATTTGAAGCTTTTGAAAAAGCAAGCTAAAACACAATCGCTATGTAAGTTTTCTTAAAAGAAAGTGAATTAAAATTTAAAAAAAGATAAATTGATAAACAATTTGATGGTGCACATTGATTTGCTTTTACCTATAAACTTTTTATTTTAACTTGAAAAAAATTTTTTTGTTGAATAACGAAGAAAAATGTTTATAATTTCATGTTTATGCAACAAAAAAAAAAAGTTGATGAAATTCAATAGTTTTGTGGAATTGTGAATTTAAAATATGGTTCCTCTTGTTACCTAAAAAAGACATGAGGTATTTGAATTAATGATTATATTATCTAAATTATTTAATTAAATCTTCTTCTTTAAATAATTTCAAGAAAAGGATATTAGATTAAGAAACAAAAGCCATTAAGAGTAATTTAAAATAATTTTAAATACAATCTCATTATTCAAAAAGTGTCGAGATATGGGCGATAAACGTAAGGTAAAGTAAAATTAACATTGAAAGCTCCCAATCTTCCACAACTCTATTGGTCTCCCCGTCTAACTATTGAGGCCATGTTCCTAGAGTGAGGCTCTCCCGCATTTTGAGATTCTAAGTAGGTAACATATTGTTAGTCAGATGTAGTACATTTTTATGTCTGATTTTGTGTGTTAAATAATCCCCAGCACCTAGTACTTAACATATTTCGTGTCCCCCCTTTAAACTCATAAGATTGAGTTTTATTGCTTGAAGGAATTATCGCTAAGTAAAATATAATTTATGGTGTATTATGTTTGTACTTACCAAATTTTAATAAGTTCATGCTTTTAAATCTGTTATTAGCATGCAGTATTTCTCTAAAATTATAATCTGCAACAAGCATGTGTCGTTCTGATCTATAATTTTTGTTAACTTGGTGAAAATCAGATATGTTGAATTTTAGTTTATTTTCTATTTTATTAAAACTTTAATCCTCTTGTAGCTATTGCAGTTAGTTAAAATAGCAAAAATTATTCAGAAAACAAAAAAGTTTGTTTACTCTTACAAAATTACATGTAGAATTACTTCAAATAAATTTTATAGATTGATTTTAAAACATTGGCCATTGTATAAATGCAAGTAGTAAGCAATACATCTGCATGAATATTTTTGAGTTTGGTAATTTATTTTCTATTTTTGGGATAAACTTTTATAATGTATTGGTTACTCAATACTTTTTTAAAATTCAGTTAATTTGACCCTTTTTATTGTAAAAGTGCATATTTTTTATTATTAAGAAATTTATTTAAATATATTAGAAAAAGTATTTTAACATAGCAACCAAAGTTACTATAGGAATTGGCATTGAAATTCATAAATTTTTGGTATGGTTGAAGTACTTATTTTTTTTTTTTTATGTTAGNTTTTTTTTTTATTTTTTTTTTTTGTTAAACCATTTACCAAAAGAAATTTTAGAGAAATATGAAAAATTCTTTCAGTTAAAATTTCATTCTCTAAAGTTATTTGATCTAAAAAAAATTATGTAAAATACATGAATTTAATTCAAAGAGAAAATTAACTATGTTTTATTATTCATGGAATTACACAATTAGTAATCGATATTATTTAATATAGGTAATATTTCTGTAACAAAGAAAAGTTCAGTTTAAATAACTTCTTTTCTGCAAGAAATCTTATTAGCAATTCTAATTATTCTACTTTTTATGGAAAAATAATAATTTATAGTAATTTCACTTTGCGCAACACACAAATATTGTGATAATAAAGGTTTTTTAGTGATTAATTTTTTTCAATATTTAAAATATTATTTAGACAGTAATTTTTTCTTTTATTTAATATTAAGTTTTAATTTGTATGTATCTTTATTTGTACATTGTTTAAAGGATATTTTAATAAATTTATTATTTCTGTTTGTTATTTGTAAAATAGTTTTCTTACTTGATATTTTTATGCAAAATCAAGCTAGAAATAAGTTATTATTTTTGCTTTTATAGGAATTTTATATTAAGATAATCTTCTGCAAGAGATTCTAAATAGAAATGAACTACCATATGCATATTCAAGGGAAATTTTCCAATAATTGTTTAAACTAGTTGAAATTCTATCTCTATTTAGGGTTTAAAGTTCATGTCCTTTCAGAAAAAATCTATTGCAGTGAAGGACTTCAGGAGTGACCATTCTCTGTTCCACAGTAAAATGGTCCCTGTGGCAGAACTTTTTTAAGCTATTTGCAACAAAACTCTCAAGCACTAATATCTTTTTGCAAGATACTTTTAATAATAACAAACATTTTAAATTAGTAAAATATATGTTTGTAATTATTAAAAGTATCTTGCAAAGAGATATTAGTATATGACAGTGATTTTATTATTTCAAATTAGTAACATATGTAACAAAAGCGCTGTGTTTACAAAGAAAGAAAAAATATATACATAATTTTTATTTATTGAACATGTAATAATTTTTATTCTAATATTATGGGTCATATTCTCGCATTTTGTTGGATGCACTAATTAAAGTAATAATGAAAATAAAAAATATAATTAAAAATCATAAAATCTGTAGCATTAATCGCCAAAATAAAAATCGACAACAAAATCACACGCATAGGCTTCCTGAAAAGGGGTTACTCAAATCCGTGTTTTGTTTCGAGATTAGGTTGTTGTAAATAATATCGTAAAAAAAATATCGGATTTAAAAACTATGGAAAAATCAATAGCAATAACTGCCAACAAATCAATAGAATCATTACCTAAAAAGTAAATACGCAAAGGCATGATTCGATTTGTTTGAAATCTAGGCGAAGAACGAAAGTTCAGTGCCTGCCGTTAAAAAAAAATTGTTTGAAATATATCAGGATATTTAAAACCATGTGAAAATCAATATCAATAACTGCCCAATCAACACATTACATAGATTTACGTTACAATTGGCATAAATTGATTACTTAAATTGATTTGAAATGATTATCTAAATGCATGATTCAAAATTTTAAGTATAAATTTTTGTAGAAAATAAAACTTTTTATTTTTCAGAAGAAAAATCTTTCTGCAAGCAAGAATTCTGTAATGTNCCATGTGAAAATCAATATCAATAACTGCCCAATCAACACATTACATAGATTTACGTTACAATTGGCATAAATTGATTACTTAAATTGATTTGAAATGATTATCTAAATGCATGATTCAAAATTTTAAGTATACATTTTTGTAGAAAATAAAACTTTTTATTTTTCAGAAGAAAAATCTTTCTGCAAGAATTCTGTAATGTTCTGCAACAAGATCGACATGTCTCTGCAATTCTGCCACTGGGAAATTGGTCGTTGTTAGAGGTTACCTCCATTGACTTCAAAATGTTAAAATATTCATGATTTTCCGCCAGCGTTTTTAATTTTAGCCATTTTCATTTTCTTGGTGCGGAAATGCCACTGGTGTTGGCTTCATGAAATCAGAACCGATGAATAAAATTTAGTGTTTATAAAAATAAACCCTACTGATATAAATTGGGAGTAAAAACAAATTTACCAATTATGAATGATAGAACTATTTGAATAAAAGAGCAGTTATGTTTTTTATTTAAGTTTGCCATTAATTTTATCAGATACAAATTAGTTAACCTTAAGATAGGAAGAGGTTTGTTTGTTTGTTTGTTTCATCATTTGCTATGAAATTATTTTATGTGTCAAGCATTACCTTACTGGAAGTTTGTGTAATATTTGACACTTTTAGTCAATAAATACTAATACAATTATTTCACTTTACTATCATAGTTAATTTTAACAGTCGCAAATATAAAGTGTAGAACCTATGCCATTATCTTCAATAAGTTGAAAAAGGTTTTTATTATGTTCTTCAGAAAATCAGTGATGTTACTTTTCTAGTTATAACTTTTATGTTCATTTTAAGTATAATTTCAATATGATCAAAGAGAAATACAAAATAATCTCAGTTGCAAATTAATTTCCTTTTTTAGATAAGCTTTTTTGCATTATGGGTTTAATGATTTCTTTTGACACTTTTCTATGGTATTTGTATGATAACAATAAATATTTTTATTTGATACTGTAAATATATGTATAAATATAATTTATTTGATACTATAAATATACTAAAAATTTGTATGATACTATAAATATTTAAAATAAAGTTATTTAAATATAGTTTATGAATGCAATACAAAGAAGAAAGTTTACCAAATTTCGTTGTATGTTTTTTTTTTTTATGTTTGTCATAAATATTTTAGTAACAATGAATTATCTTAATTGAAAAGTATATTATTTCTTAACTATTCACATCATTTATTACAAAGAGTAATATCTTCATAATGATAAAATTTTTGTCTCCTGGTTTTACATTTTTGAGATTAACTGTGAAGAAATAAATTACTATTTATACTTTTACTGTTCATTGGTTTTATCCCCCTTGTAGCTTGGTGAAATTTTTTTGTTTCAAGGCCATCACCAAGGATCTTTTCTAGTAAATGCTCCTCTGACTCTCAAGTTTTTACATATATTAGTGCCAGAAAAAGAAAGCAGTTATAAGTGCAAATTAATCTTCTTTAAAAAATATACTTTTTCTCTAGTAAATGAACTCAGTTCTTGACAACTTTTTCTTTGCACATTGCATGATTTCGCTTCTAAAATTCTTCCTCAATACCATAATTTGTTTCTTTTGATTTTTATTGTCATTTATGCTTTTTCTTGTTTCATTATTTTGCGTTGTTTCTCTTAAGTTTTCATCATTCACATGTTGTTATCTTGATGAAGAGGGTCTAATTTTAGGTATTCAAAACATGAACCTATCTACCAATCTTTCTATATAGCAAAAAGAAGTTTTTTATTTTCTAATACCAAACAATTATTGATTTTTCTCTTCATAACCTAGTTTTATCGTTTTCATAGTAAGATAAATTATTATTTTAATTTACTGTTTTGGGTAAGAACAAAAATTCCTTTGAAATTTTGAAAATTAATTTTAAAAGATACATTTTTTGTGTTAATAAGATGAATATTCATACTAAATAGTTTAATGTATATTGTCACACGATAAATTTTTCTGCCATGTATAAAAAATTATGAATTTTAACTGTTATGTAATTTTAAGCAACTCTATCTTTAATTTAAGATTAAAATATCTTTCATTTAACAAATTCCTTAGTTATTCGATATGTGTAAAAGTTGTGTACAAATTAAATTGATGCAGATGGTAGTGAATTAAAACAAACAAGATTCTTAAAATTTGTTACTCTCAACTCTGTTAAATAGTCCTCTGATTTTTTAGTGATGGAAAATTTTCTTAATCTTTTTTTTTCCCTTGAAAATATTAATTGCTTTTCCACTGGAACAAACTTTTGCAAAAATATATTTCAATTTCTTATAGATTTTGCTTACAATATGACAAATTAATAATCTATCAGTATAGTTTAAATTTTAGCAAACATTTCTTTAGATATATTTATTATTTTTTTTAAACTTTTTTCTATATTTAAGAAATTAACAAACTATCTTTTAGGAAAAAAAAATAGTTTAGTTTATGATTGTATTAAATATTTTTAAGATTTGATTTTTTATAAATATTGATGTATTTATTCAAAAAATGCAGTCTTTTATAGTTTGACTTTTTTTTAAAAATATTTCCCGTTTTTTCATATGTAGGTACCACCATAGTTCTTCTGTACCTGCTTTTAGGTAAACTTGTTTACCTTCACTAGCTGCTGCTCCTGTTTCAAATCCAAGCCTGTTGAGTGGAATGTTGCAAATTTCTGATTTATCACAATCATTTGTTATCAGAGTATTCCCCCCGAACTCCGTGTGTGTTAGGTGCACTATCAATGAAGAGACAATGATCTATTTAAATCAAGGTTCATTTTATATGAGATATTCATTTTCACTTATATTTTATTTCATTACAGCTATAACATTTTTGAAATTTTTTGTACCATATATTCATTATTTTTTTAACTTTGCTTCTTTCAAAGTTTAATTTTTTTTTAAAACTGACCAAAGGAATAAATTGCAATATGTTTCAACTAGCTTAGCATTTTTATTTATAAAAAAAAAAAACTTGAAGTTAATTCTACTGTTCAAATTTTTTCCCCTCTAAATTATAAATGCATACCTGCCAACATTAGAGAAATAAAATTACGAAGATTTTACTAGCAACATTTCTTAGACTACTGTAAAGTTTGATACATTATGCATTATCACTTAAGTCAAAAAAAGAAATTCAAAATTGGAAATAATCTAAGCACTTACATCTATCAAAGTAAAAAATATGTATATAAATCTTAACCTAAAGATTTTTTTAAACCATCATTTATATTTACTTAAAACTATTAACACTCAACAAGCTGCAGTATTGGCAATAGATTAGATTGATCTGTTGAGGAATAAGAGAAGTATTTTCTCCATCAACAGATATTTCATCATAACTTTTTTTTTTTTTTAAGTTTCTTCAGCAAATACTGAGAAATTTGAGAATATACAGGTAAACAGGAGGGAGTTGTAAAATATAGGAGACTAAATTTTACAACTCCCTCCTTCATTAAAAAATAGGAGACTTGGCAAGCATGTAAATGTTTAATAGGGATGTAACCTTTAAGATATTATGAGTTGCTGTATTCTTGTTTGTTATAGAAAATATATGTCTATTGATTTAATTTTAGTTTTCAGGAATTTTTCTAATGTGTGTAAATATTTTGAAATTCAGATTACAAATTTTGATGTGCAAGAAAATATGTTTTCTTCTCTAATGGTGACCCAAATTTTTTATTCTTTTTTTTTTGTTAAATTGTGTTTTGTGCAAAATAAGATAAAATTTTTGATAAAGTTTATTTTTAAAATTTAATCATTATCCTGACTGTTCAGAGGGGGGGGATTCAGTTGTTGAGAGCGGAGGTTTAAGAATATTGAGTGTTAAATACAAAGTTTAAACAAGTTTTGTCTATAATCTGACTTTAATTTAAATTTGAAAAAAAGTCAACAGAAAACTAAAGGACAAAAAAAATTCAAATACTTTTGAATCCGCATGATGGACTTTTTAGTACCGAAAACTGTTTTTTTAACCAAACAATGAGTAATAAAAGGTTAACTTTGTATCACATATCTATACATATGTTCTATATATACTTTTTATTGTTTTTTCTAAACTTTATTATATTCTATATAGCAAGAAACAAATGTTTTTAAAATTATAAATTGCATTTCCTGAAATATACTATTTGCTATCTAATGATGTTTAAAATTACACAACCATGTTACCCAATTATTGCAAGCAATCGAAGGAATTGCACAGAAGGAATTATATATTTTATTTATCATAATATAATTTATAAAGTGCTACACTAATTTACTCTGCTAATAATAATAGTATGCTCTAAAAATGAGAAATCTGTAAAAAGCAAAAATTTATCTGTTTAAGTGGGACAAATAAATTAAGGTTTTACATCAATTGATTATAATTTGAATAGCACTGGAAAACAATTGTTTTGTTTTGCTTTCCAATGAATAAGATTTTTTAACAAAATTTTTACTACGTTGATTTAAACTCTGCAATTAATTTCTAACTTGAAGCTACGGTTTTTTCAAATAATATTTTTAAGTGTATTTTTTGTCAAAATGTAGAAGTTTAAAAACGTTACCTCTAACAGATGATGGCATAAATGTTACGACAATTTTCTAGGGGAATAAAGGCACATCATCCAGAGCTCATTCTAGGCAGGGTAAACAGGGCGCAGCACCCTGCTGCCCTTTTAGTCAAAAGAATCCACCCTGTTGCCCCTGAAGTAAATTAGTGTCCTGATGTAATAAGACTCCGTACCCTTTTTGCCCTTTCTTTCCTCAACGCTTTATTTTTTCCCCAAGCTCTACAGTGGATTTCTCAAACTTTTATTTTTAACTCTTTTTATTTAGTTTGTCATTGCTATCAATACATAAATTTATACAGTAGGGAACCGATTATCCNGTGTAAAGCCCATGGAAAGAAATTATTGCCTTTTTAGAATAATAATGCCCTTTTTTTAAACTTTTGCACCCTGCCCTTTTCTCTGCCTAGAATGTGCTCTGCATCATCTATATTAAACTTGCTTAGCGACTTATGCCGGATTTTTTTACATACTCTGCAGTTCACTATTATGAACTGCTTCTTACTGTGCTTCTGAACAGGTCATAATAGCCACATATGATGATATTTCCATTAATGTTTGCAAGTTTGATTCAGATGATAAGCCCAACTCCCCTAGGAATTTATCACAACATTTATGTGAAACCCTGTTATACATGACATTTATAAAAACTTGTACATTTCGACGAAAATATAATAAAAATATTATTTCAAAAAGAATCTAGATTTATGAACACAACTAATTTCTGATTTAAAAATTTCCACCCCTGAGTTAGGCAAGATCAAGTTTTTGTATAAGTGTAACAAAAAATTTGCTCCCCAATGTAATCTTTATTTAATATTGTAAGATCAATATTAATTCACCTTAATATTTATAAATAAATCTATCTTAAACTATGTTTATATTTCTATGGTGTTTCTAGATCATTAAATGCACAATATTTTTGAATTAAAAACATTTGAACTTTGAATTACTTTGCCTTGTGCAAAAAATATAGATTGTAGCAGGTTCATAAAAAAAGTTTTTATGAAGATTCATGAAAATTTAAAATATTAGATGAAAATAAAAGTTATTTTTAATGAAAATTTTTATTCACTCTTTACACAACCATTAAAAGCAAAATTATTGTAATCATTTCATATATTTGCTATCCTTTAATGATTCAAATAGATGTTTTTTAATTGAAGTAATTTAACTTACAGTTTAAATTGAAAATTTTAATAATTTTATTCTAATCATCTGCTCTGTTTGCAATGTTTAATTATTTTATGCCGTGGGCCAAACTGGATGAAAACCTTCAGGTAGTAAGTCTTTATGTATAGATTCTTCAAGAAACAAAGTTGTGAAAACTGAGTGAAACTATCAAAATCTTAGGGTGGAACCGGAGATTTAAGAGATAAAAGAACTTAAACATAAAATGTTTTTAGCAAGCTTTGGATTTTTACTGTACTATATATTTTTTAAAGTGTTAATAATTATTTTTTTGCATTATTTCCATTTTTTTTTATTTACGACTTATTACACATATATTTTTATGGGTAGTAATTCTTAAATATGTCAGTATATTGTTAATAACGCAATACAATAAAAAATAACTACATAAAAGAAATAAACCTTTTATAACAGAGTTTACAGGATGTGGATAAATGCAGATTTGCTTTTTGTCCTGCTTTTTATTATTATCTCTGTTGTTTATACATTCTCTCTTGTTACGTAATCTATGTATTATGTACTATGTCTCTTATTATGTCATCTTTTTGAACAAATAAATTACACACCCATTCTTTTTTTAGGGATTCTTTGTTTTTGGTTCTAAAATTGACCTAAACTGATTTAAATTTTAATCTGACAGACAAAATTGCAATTTATAAGTTAAATTTACAATTTCAAATTAATGTTAACTTCTAATTGTGACAGGACAGAAAAACATTCCTTTTCCTTAAAGCATTCATCTTCATTCTAAAAATAACATTTTGAACAAATCTACATAAAACTGTGCTTTAAAAAATTGTACCTTATATGCAATCATATAAATCAAAAAAGGAGAAAACTTGATGATGTTCCTTAACAATTTACTGGATTTCTAATTTAGCATTTTTTACAGTTTTTAAAATTAGTATTTTGTGATTTAAATTTCATTACCATTAGGTGTATCCTATAAGATTCTTCTATTATTCTTACATGTTTCTGGAGTGTTGTCAGTTAAATTCTGTAGTGTTGTTAAGGAACTGCCTATTTCTCCCCTTAGAGTATCTATGTGTTAAGTTTTTCTTTTCATCCATTTTTGTTTCTCAATTTGTGTTCTCTTTGATATTTTATGACAAATTGCTTTATAATTTCATGTTAGACTTTAAGAACAAAACGTTTTTTGTCAGCTGCTATGTTTATTTGATATCTTTTAAAGAAACAATATTTTTTAGCTAAATGAATTTCGATTCCTGAGAGGGGCAGTATCATTTGCAAGTTTTGCCTGATGTGGAATGGTTTCGTTAAAAATCATTTAATTTTATAAAGAAATAAAAGTAAAAGATTGTTTATATATTATAAGTGTACAATTAATTATTTCTAAAAGCAGACAATTGTTTTATAAAGCAGATTGCAGTGTTTTCTTTTTACAAGTTATACATTTCAGATTCCACTACAGTTTTGGTTTTTTTCTTTATTCATCATGAAATTCATTCTCAGTAAATTAATACTTATTCATGAATTTTAAGGTGAAGTTTTTTTTTAAAATTCAGTTGATTTTATTATATCCTACCTTGTACAGGATTGTAATATTTATGGTATATTTAGACTTTTAACTATCATTTCCATTTGGTAAATTTTAAGTGTTGTTTTTATTTAATTTGATTAATAAATTTTCCTTGTATTTTATCATTTTATTTTTTGCTTTTAATTAGGTATGAAATATATTGCATTTCTTAATTATTAATTTTGTTTTATATTAGTTAATTTGGTGATTTTAGTCTTCTATAACAAATCTTTAGTTTATTATCATAAATCTTTAGTTTATTATCATAAATCTTTAGTTTATTATAATAAATCTTTAGTTTATTATAATTTGGTTTTATTTAGTTTAATATAATTTAGCTTAACTTCAATTAAATGAAGATCTTTAATTGACTTACATTTGTGTTGTAAGNTATTTTTTTTAATTTTTTTTATTAATTTCACAATTTTGCCATCATAATTTATATTTTTCTATCTATTTATCAATCTTATTAATGATATTTTTTTAATAGAAAATCTTAACATGTTGCAATTTTACACTTATTTTTCCCTTATACTTATTTTTCAGGATAATACAATATTTAGAGTTAAAAATGTTTTTTTTTTATTTAAGTAATGCTCAATTAAGTTTCCCAATCTTATTGGTGCTTATCTTTCCCATAATTAATATTTTAATTGATGCTTATGTATTGGAGTTTATTTGCTTATTCTGTTTTTGGGAAATGTTCTTACATTGATTAAATAAGATTTAACATGGATAATATACAGATTATGTACATATTTTTAGTATTTCTTTTGCAAAAACTTAGTACTTTTAATTTTTTTTAACTGTTGCATAGTAAATTCCTTTAGTCTTGTGTTTTCTTTCAGTCATATTTATATTTCTGATACTTTATTATTCTTAATCATAATTGATGTAATTTAAATCTTCTGCTTTTTTTAAAATAAAAATAACATTTGCTTACTTGGATTTGCAATTTTAATTATAATTTTAAATTGCAGTTTCAAATAAAAATGTTGTTGAATTTTTTACAAAAATAAATAAATAAATAAATCCTGGATTTGTTGGCAAATTTGCTTGGAAAAGTCAGTTTGCTACTTCTAAATAGAAATGCTTAAATGTTTTTTTAAATGCATTTTAATGGATATTTTAATTTTTAATAAATTATTTGCGAATTTTCTTATTTAAATGTAATTTTGTATCTAACAGGATGTAACAAGTACTACTATACTGAATGAATTATGTAATTATGAATTATGAATTACTGTAATGAATTATTGGAAATTTAGTATCCTGCTGCCAAAGTTCTATTGAGCTAGCTGAGCTACAAGATCTAGAAGTTACTAGTGGAACTACATCTGTTGTAAGTAAAAATTATTTTTTCTAGATATTTGCATGCTAGGGAAGCTACTTGCACTTTCTCTAGCTACTTGCATTCTTGTTCCTTATACTTCATGTTTAGTTGTATTTTTTTTTTCTTTGTAAGTTCATGCATGATATTGTATACAATTTGTTAATAACAACTTTATAAAAAAACATCAATCTAGTGAAATTTGTTTTAAAAAAATAATAGTTGGATTATGAAACCAGTTGAAAGTTAGTTGGGACTTTTTTTTTATTCGTGATTAAGTTTTAAAATGCATGCTATAAATTTTATTATTATCTTAACTTTCTTTTAATCGAAATCATTGGAACAGATTTTCAAATCTTGAAAATTTTTTTTTTTTTTTTTTTTTTTTTTTTGAAAATTTTTTTACATTATTACTTTATTACAAACAGTGAATAGCACTGATAAAATAGCTGGATTATGTAATTGGCTAATTTTTAATAGCTTATTACACGGAATAAAATCATCACCATTTTATTAAATCAAGCTATAAGGTAAAGATGGAAAAAAAAAATCCTGTCAAGATATTTAGATTTTTTCCTCTTAAATTTAGAAAGATGCATAGCAAATTCAAATTTGGCAAGTGACACAAAGTCAAAATGCTCTCTTATAAAAATTAGAGAACATCTTGCTAAAAAATCCTGATAAACTCTGAAGTCACATGCAAAAAAAGAAATTATTTTTTCTTGTAGCTTGATCAGAAATAGAACATGTTTTTTTTATTTTAAACAATCTGTTCAACAATGTCTTAAGCCCATAATTGAAATTACGGGAACCAGTCCAATTTATTTCATAGCATTTAGCTATTCCATTAAATATTAATTAATGTTTTCAGTGAACAATTCAAAAATATCTACCTTAAATATGCTGAATAATTAAAAGACGAGCTGAATAATTTAAGTATGCTTTTAAAAATGTTATTTTACAACTTCATTTCGCAGGCAGATAAACGCAACATTTAAATTTTATTTTAGTAATATAAGTTAAAGAATGATTTCCCCCCCCCCTTTACTTTTCTATAATGTTTTTTTTTTTAAAATTACGGCAGGCACTGAACTTTCATTCTTCGCCTTAGAAGATGCCGGAAGTGTTACTCATTTATCGTTACCCAGTGGGCACCTGTGAACCAAAGTCACGGAGGCAAGCAACNTAAATTTTATTGTAGTAATATAAGTTAAAGAATGATTTCCCCCCCCTTTTACTTTCCTATAATGTTTTTTTTTTTTTTAAATTACGGCAGGCACTGAACTTTCATTCTTCGCCTTAGAAGTCGTTACCCAGTGGGCACCTGTGAACCAAAGTCACGGAGGCAAGCAACATTACCCATGCCACACTGCCACAACATATAATAAATTGTTTTAATGATATTTAACATTATTTAAAACACTATTATAGCTAAAATAGTTAATATTTCTGGTGTTGGGTAAAACAATGGGTTTCAAAGATGGGTAAAACTATTATTTAAGTATTACAAAACAAATCATTGAAAAAATAAAATCATAGTTATACTTTTCAAGCTCAATTTGATAATGAATGTTAATGATTAGGATACTATTTGTCAGTTAGAAAGATTAAATTAAAAGTCTTAAAAAGATTAAATTAGTTAATATTAGAATACATTGTTGAAAAAAAACTATTTTAAGTTACTTTTGGATTGAACAAGTCTTTATATATCTATGCTATTTATACAAATTGCATTTAAATAAGCTTTAAACTAAACATGTATAATTGAAATGTGTTTTTTTGGTTGCAAGCTATTTTGTTGAATTCCAAGCATAACAGAGGGAATTCACACAAGTATTTTATTCTGAAAAATATGCTTAATATTTCTGAAAACAAAACATTTTACAAGAGTATGCTACTTTAGGGTGCAATATTTAATTAATTGGCATAAAATAATAAAAGAGACTCATAATTAAATTGCAAGTTAATTAAAAGTACTTGTAACAGAGGGGACAAATCCCACTTTTTAGACATGCACTGTTATTTACACTAAATTCTGTGATTTCGACCATCCTAAACATTATCTGTAATTTTTTTTAAAATTATAACATTTAAACGTAAAATAAATTATTATGAAACTTTTAAAATTGCAAGCACATTTTTATGAAGTCCTAATAATATGTCGTAAGTGGACATGAAATGTAATAAATTTGACAAATAGTTAAAGAGAAATAGCACTGTCAAGAGTGACTCTTCTGTTATTTAAAGTTGGAGTTGGCAGCACTGTTGTAATAACTGACAAGTGAACTCATGCTACATTCTTGTAGTTTTATTTAAAAGTTTTTGTTTTAAAAGACCTTCTTAAAAAAAACATGCATATTGTTTGTTTCTTTTTCAATTTCAGTTATTTGGGCAACAAAATTATCTACCCTATTTTTCCCTTTAACTGTTCACACTTGCAAAACTATCTATTACAACATCAAAAGAATCTCAATGTTTTAAATGGGGACTGATGCACATAAAATCTGTTGGGTCACAAAGTCCTCCTTGTTCTCATAACAAATCAATACCAGTTCCCTTGTATTTTGGATTGGGTTCAAAATTGCAAGGCCACGGAGATGAACATTGGTAGCCGTAAACTTACATTTGGGTCAGCTGTTCAACCATAGTTAGAAAATCAGTTGAGCGATTGTTACAAGTCGCTATATTTAGTCATTCTATGTAATTATTCGGTACACAACTGCGATTTTAATAGTAAATTTACATTTTCATGAATAGCCCATATACACATTATATGGTGTTTTACCTACGCATAAAATATGGATAGATCGTAGTACAGCAAACTTAGATTTGCCGAGTTTTATGTTTGGATGCATCTGCTTTAAAACTTGATATGCTTCCATGAAGGTGCACAGCTCATACTTTTTTTTTTTGCTTTGTAACTTTCTGTACATTTTCTCTGACAATCACGCACTCATCTCTACCAGAAGCCTGGTAAGAAAATTTATCAGATGGGTAAAAATTTATTACAAGTTTTTTGTTCTGTCAGAAACTTTGTTACTGTAGAGTGTTTCTTTTGTTTTGGTAGTAAGGTTACAGAATGTGCGTACAACAGTACAACGTTTTCTGGGAGATACAGGTAATGCAGGTTGGCTTTTTTAATAGCTTTCTCCAATACCTAAGGAATATTATAAAGAGAATGTCCTTCCTGAATTTCCACTGCTTGTATCAGTTCCTTTTTATTTATTTTTTTTTTATTTATTTATTTTTCAAAATGCTTCTGTTATCATAAATTTTCGTTTAATATTCTTTATCTTTCTTTTTACAAATATCTTTTTTTTTCTTGGGACATTCTAATTCTATATTAATTACTCCCTCAATAAACTTTTAACTATAAACTAAATAGGCTATGAAATTAAAATGACACAGCTTTATAAAAAAAGTGTGCTCTAACAGTGGAGGAGCTGGTTTAAACTAGTTGAATTTGGATGCATTAGCACTTGTTTACTTTCCTAGATTTCCTTTTTAATGGTCAACCAATCAGCTTTGATTACATTTTGCGTAACTCAGGGGATATTTAGTTTTTCCTCTCTGTAAAGTAAGTCCAAATCATGAATGCTCTATATTAATGATAAATTTTATTATAATCATGTATAACTCCTAAAAATAACTTTTGAATTCATAAATTACAACAAATTTTCTTTAAAATACTACCAAATACGAGGATATTGCTTAAACTTTCAAAATTCAATGCTGGTTTCAGATGGCATGGAATTCAACTTTTACATAAAGTTAATGGAAGATGATAATGTAAAAGTTTAATCCCACTCTTATCCTCATTTAGTCTATTTTGTTTTTTAGGTTATTATTTATTTTTAATCTATTTTAGAAAAAAATATAATAGTATATTTGCCTTTAATTATTTCTTAGTAAATAGCGTTATTAATAATAATTAAAAGAAAACACTTCAAAAAATCATACCCTAAATAATATTTTTATTAATTATACAGTAAAAAAATCAGTTTATTTAAATCTAATTTTTTTTAAAAATTACTTGTTTTAAGTCTTTTTTTTTTTTATTTATTTAGACTTAAAACATATATACAAGGTGCATGGCGTTTTTAAAAAGTGCTTAAAGGTGCTTATTTTCGATTTTCGTATTTTAAAAGCCATTAAAAGTGCTTTTTTCATTGGGTGTTTTTTAAAAAGTGCATAATTTTTCCTTTTTCAAAATGAGATTTATCCTTTACCGTGTTGATTTTCACTACAAATTATGCAAAAAGACACAGTTCACATTTTTCTATTCAACATCTATTTTGGCGTATTGTCAGTCCATAGCATATGAAAACACCATTCGTTTTACAGCATTCAAAATTTCATGACTTTTGACAATTGCCGAAAACAATGCCAAAAGGTTTTTTTTTTTTTGACATGACAGTTAAAATAAGATAAAACCGTCAATTGTCAAAAACTTTCCTACCCTGCCTAATTATGATATTTTTTTAAAGTGCTTACAAATATTTGTTGAGTGCTTAAAATGTGCTTATTTTTTGTTGCACCCTGTTATATATATTTTTGGGTTGTAATTCTTATTTATGTCAGTGCATTGTTGATAACAAAATACAATTAACCACATAAAAGAAATTAGCTTTTTATAACAGAGTTGACAGGAGGTGGGATAAATGTAGATTGTTTGCCAAGGAACCAAAACTGACTAAAATCTTCTTCTTTCAAATCCCCATTTCTAGCCTAGCTAGACAAGGTCCATGAGTTTGTTCACCTTCAAAAAGTTTAAAACAAGTAAGGGTCTTTCAATAAGGTCTTGTTTTAAAAGACCGAGGCAGTCCAGTAGATGTTCAGGGGACGCCTGGGCCAAAGAGCACTTGGTACAGAGGGCAAAGCACTTTTCTCCTCCACAGTACCTTAGTGATTTCAGGTGTCCACAGCGGAGACGTGTGATTGCGGTTTGAAAATGACGGTCTTTGTCAGCTGTCAAACAGCTAACCGGTCTGGTACCAATTGTGACTGGGTGG